AATTAATTATATTGGGAAAGTGCGTAGAAGGGGCGTGGACCCAATTGGGGTTTTGTAGGTGCAAAAGCTTAACGCCTGTGCTGCTAGCCGTGCACCGCGTAAACCCTAAACCCTAATTTAGGGTTTGGGTTTCTTGCTTGGTTGTTGGCAAGATGTTGTTTGGGCGGACCCCCCGTTGAAGGGTTTGTCGTTTGGAGCAGTGGTTGGGGCGTCAAACCCTTTTTTAGGGTTTGGGCTTGCAAACCCATTTTTAGGGTTTGGGCTTGCAAACCCTTTTTTAGGGTTTGGGCTTGCAAACCCTTTTTTAGGGTTTGGGCTTGCAAACCCTTTTTTAGGGTTTGGGCTTGCAACCCCTTTTTCAGGGTTTGGGCTTGCAACCCCTTTTTTAGGGTTTGGGCTTGCAAACCCTGTTTTAGGGTTTGGTTGCAAACCCTTTTTTGGGGTTTGCAGCAATACTTCGTGGGGGCCGTGGCCGTGGGAGACCTGGTGAAGTCCACCCTCGGCCCCAAGGGTTTGGACAAAATGCTGCAGCAAATGCATGCAGAAGCAGCAAGAAGAGAAAAGCCCCTCGTGACCAACGACGGGGCCACCATTTTGAAGTCCGTGTGGCTCGAAAACCCCGCAGCCAAGGTCCTCGCCGGTGGGTCTAGGGTTTAGGGTTTAGGGTTTAGGGTTTAGGGTTTAGGGTTTGGGGTTTGGGGTTGGGGTTGGGGTTGTTTGCTTTTTAGTTTGGTTGGTTGCGTTTTTGCTTTGTTGCTTGTTTTTCTTTTTATCTTTTTTGTTTAAATTGATGTCACGGAGTTGGATTGCTGCTGCTGCTGCTGCTGCTGCTGCTGCTGCTGCTGCTGCTGCTGCTGCTGCTGCTGCTGCTGCTGCTGCTGCTGCTGCTGCCTGCTGCTGCTGCTGCTGCTGCTGCTGCTGCTGCTGCTGCTGCTGCTGCTGCTGCTGCTGCTGCTGCTGCTGCTGCTGCTGCTGCTGCTGCTGCTGCTGCTGCTGCTGCTGCTGCTGCTGCTGCTGCTGCACAGATTTGGCGCTGCAGCAAGACATGGTCTGCGGCGACGGGACTACAGGAGTTGTTGTTCTTGCTGCTGAGCTGCTGAGGGAGGCTGAGCAGCTTGTGGAGAAAAACATACATCCCCAGGTTAGGGTTTAGGGTTTAGGGTTTAGGGTTTAGGGTTTAGGGTTTAGGGTTTGGGGTTTAGGGTTTGGGGTTCCGGCGGGCGGTTGCGGGTTTCTGGGGGCTGCGTGCGGCTGGGGCTGAGCCCCCCTCCACACCCTCGCCAAACCCTAAACCCTAAACCCTAAACCCTAAACCCTCGCTGCTGCGGCTGCGCGCAGACCATCATCAGCGGCTACCGCAAAGCAGCAGCAGCAGCAAGGAAGCAACTTGCTGCTGTTGCTTTTGGGGTTTCTGATGAAGAGTCTCTTCGGACTTGTCTTTTAAATGTTGCAAGAACCACTTTGTCTTCCAAGTTGCTGCCAGGAGACAAGGCAAACCCTAAACCCTAGCAAACCCTAAACCCTAAACCCTAGCAAACCCTAAACCCTAGCAAACCCTAAACCCTAGGGAGGGCCGCAGGCGCGAGCTCCACAAGCGCGGGATCTAAAACCCTAGCGAAGTCCCAAACCCTCGTAAACCCTACGGCTTCCTAAACCCTAAGCCGTCCTAAACCCTAAACCCTAGCTAAACCCCAAACTGTAACTCTTGGGGTCTTCAAAAGGCCCCAAGAACTCCAAACCCTCATAAACCCTAAACCCTCGACAAACCCTAAACCCTAGGAAGCGCCGAAACCCTTTTCAAGGCCTCCGCTTTCTTGCATGCGCAAAAGTTGACTTCTGCCTCGCTGTTTCCGGGCCGCGGGATCTAGGGTTTAGGGTTTAGGGTTTAGGGTTTAGGGTTTAGGGTTTAGGGTTTGTGCGCAGGAGCACTTTGCGAAGATTGCAGTGGATGCAATTTTGCGGCTAAGAGACAACTGCGCCTCTTTGGATTTAATTCACATTTTGAAAAAGCCAGGGGGTTGCATGAAAGATTCTTTTTTGGATGAGGGTTTCATTCTTGAGAAGAAAATCGGTAAACCCTAAACCCTAAACCCTAAACCCTAAACCCTAACGGCGGTGGTGTCCTGGGGCGGGGTGTGCAGCGGGCTAAATCCTAAACTCTACAGCCTCTCGCAGGCCGTCTTGGAAGTTCTGCAAGCTAGGGTTTAGGGCTTAGGGTTTAGGGTTTAGGGTTTAGGGTTTAGGGTTTACTGCTTAGGGTTTGCGGTTTCTTCACAGGTGTGGGCCAGCCCAAGATGAAGGAGAACTGCAAGGCAAGTCGCAGGGGTTTAGGGTTTAGGGTTTAGGGTTTAGCAATAGAGCATTCGGACTTCGACGGAATGGAGAGACTTGCTGCTGCTCTTGGCGCTGAGATTCTTTCCACTTTCGACAACCCTTCCGAGGTAGGGTTTAGGGTTTAGGGTTTAGGGTTTGGGGTTTAGGGTTTGGGTTTGCGCGCCGGCGGAGCCGCGGGGGCCGCTGCGCGGCAGCGCCGCGCGCGGCCGCCCCGCCCTCGTCGAGATCCCAAAACCCTTTTTTAGGGTTTAGGGTTTAGGGTTTAGGGTTTGGGACTCAGGCGCCGCTCGGCTTCTGCGCCAAGATGGAAGAAATTGTTATTGGAGATGACACGGCCATCAGGTTCTCCGGTTGCAGAGCAGGTGCCTTGCTGCTGCTGCTGCTGCTGCTGTGGTTGCTGCTGCTGCTGCTGCTGCGGTTGCTGCTGCAGCTGCTGCTGCTGCGGTTGCTGCTGCTGTGCAGTTTCTCTGCGTGCTGCAGCTGCTGGCGCGTTCGTGGGCAGGCTGCGGCTGCCCCGAGACTTCAGAATTCAGGATCTAGGGTTTGGGGTTTAGGGTTTAGGGTTTAGGGTTTAGGGTTTAGGGTTTGCGGTTTAGGCGGAGCGTGCACTGTGGTGCTGCGGGGCAGCAGCGAGCAGGGTTTGGATGAAGCAGAAAGATCTCTCCATGATGCTTTAGCGATTTTGTCGCAGTTGGTGCTGCAGCAGCAGCAGCAGCGGCGGCAGCAGCGGGAAGCAGCAACAGCAGCAGCAGCAGCAGCAGCAGTCACTGGCGGCATTGCTGAGGGTTTCATGCCTGCTGAGCAGCAGCAGCTGCTGCTGGTCTGTGGGGCCGGAGCAGCAGAAATGGCCATGGAAGCAGCAGTGTCTCGCCTGGCCACCACAATACCTGGCAAAGAAGTAAACCCTAAACCCTAAACCCTAAACCCTAATTCCGGGTTTTCGACTGGGGAACCCTGCCCCACGCCAAAACCCTAAACCCTAAGCTCGAGGGGAACCCTGCCCCACGCCAAAACCCTAAACCCTAAGCTCGAGGGGCGCCACCCCAGCAGCTCTTCAGGGGTTAGGGGTTAGGGTTTAGGGTTTAGGGTTTAGGGTTTAGTGTCTGCTGCAGAGCTTGGCCGTGGAGGCGTACGCGCGAGCCCTTCGCCAGATTCCCACCATCATTGTTGACAACGCAGGTTAGGGTTTAGGGTTTAGGGTTTAGGGTTTGGAGCTTGTGGTGCATATTTGCTATCCCTCGGTAAAGGGCGTGAGTCCCTAGGCCTAGGGTTTAGGGTTTAGGGTTTAGGGTTTGCCGCTGGGCCGCGGGCGGCCCGGTGAGGGCCTGGGGCTTGGAACTAGGGTTTAGGGTTTAGGGTTTAGGGTTTAGGGTTTAGGGTTTGGGAAGAGTTAATGTGGTTTTGCATTTGGTGCAATTGTGTTTTGACACACTCAACTTTAATAAACTCCCTTTTCTTTTGGCAGGACAAAGACAAACGAAAAAAAGAAATTGAACAAAAAAGTTTAAACAAATTTGAAATTATAATTCAAAAACAAACAAGCTTGCTGCTGCAGCAAGCCTGTTTGCTGCTGCTGCAGCAAGACTGTTTGCTGCTGCTGCAGCGAGCCTCTTCGCTGCTGCTACAGCGAGCCTCTTTGCTGCTGCTGCTGCAGCAGCGGTCTAGAGAGTGATCTGCTGCGGACAAATAGACCTTCTTAGATGCACCACTTTGATTTATTTGTTCAATTATATTTATTTTATCAATAAATAAACAAAAAGAAAGAAAAAGAAACGAGAAACAGCCCCCAGAGGACCAGTGGTCCTTGCGGTGTACAGACACCGCGGCTGCGGACGCGCGGCGGCAACGCCCGATCTGCAGCTGTTTGGACAATTTGGGGATTTAAATTATTTAATTTTGCGAATTAATTTCAACTTTTATTTAATTTTAGATCTTAATTGCATTATTTCCTCCAAAACGGCTTTTTCCGCGGCTTCCTGGCGCCGGAAGAGAAGCCCGCAGCCACCTGGGCCGGGCCAGTCGGGTGTACGTACACCTCAGCTATATACGCTGTTTTTATTCACTCAATTTCGCTTTTCAAGTTTCATAAATCCTTTAATGCAATTATTTGCTGCAGTCGCTGCACAAACTCGCTAAATTCACGCCGCAGCAGCAGCAGCAGCAGCAGCAGCAGCACCGTTGGCTGGCCGCGCGCTGCTGCTGCCGAAAATCGGGCGGCAGCAGCAAGCAGCAAGCAGCAGCAGCAGCAGCTGCTGCTGCTGCAGTTTAAAACGCCTTCATAATGAAATTCGAATTCTAATTGTTTATCTTATTTGCTTTTTAACAAAGAACAGACAAAGAGACAAAAACAGAACACGGGAGTCTGCGGTCTCCCTCGATACCGCTGCCCACTGCAGCAGCAGCAGCAGCAGCAGCAGCAGCAGCAGCAGCTGAAAAAGCGTCGTTAGCAGCAGCAATCAATTTCCAAGCTAAATTGTCTCCTGCAGCGTTGCCTGCAGCAGCAGCAGCAGCAGCTGCAGCTGCTGGCTGCAGCAGCAGCTGCAGCTGAGGCCCTCCCGCAGCGGTCTCCTCGGCAGCAGCCTCCACACCATCTCCAGCAGCAGCAGCAGCAGCAGCAGCAGCAGCAACAGCAGCAGCAGCAGCAGCAAAAGGTGTTTGTAAATCTGATGGTTTGGGGCCCTTTTCTGCAGCAGGGGTCATCAGGGCCTTCAGCCCTTAACCTTTTGCGCGGTGTCTGTACACCTCAAGATGAGCGCAGCAGCAGCAGCAGCAGCAGCAGCAGCAGCAGCAGCAGCAGCCGCTGCAGCAGCAGCAGCAGCAATGGTTGGCGCTGCGGCTTAGTGAGACCCTGCCGATGCGGGTGGTGGTCCCTGCCGCTGCTGCTGCTGCTGCTGCTGCTTGGTGCGGCAGCAGCAGCAGCAGCAGCAGCAGCAGCAGCAGGACTGCAGCAGCACGAGCCCCCTGTCTTTGCTTCTTCTTTAAAACTTGCAAAGCTGCAGCAGCGGCTGCGCAAACACCACGTGCATGCAGCAGGCCCCCCGCTAGCCCTGCAGCAGCAGCAGCAGCTGCTGCAGCAGCAGCAGCAACAGCAACTGCTGCAGCAGCAGCAACAGCAGCAGCAACAACAACAGAAGCAGCAGCAGCAACAGCAGCAACAGCAGCAAAATGAACAGCAGCAGCACCCTGGAGCTGCTGCTGCGCTGCTGTCTGTCTTCAATGATTTACTTGTCTCCTTCAGCAGCAGCTGCAGCTTGTTGGCTTTTGCTGCTGCTGCAGCAAACGCGACTTTTGCCGGGCTGCTGCTGCGCAGCATTTGGATGAATCCCCTGAAGAGCAGCGCAGCAGCAGCAGCAGCAGCAGCAGCCAGCAGCAGCAGCAGCAGCAGCAGCAGCAGCAAAAATACGATGCTACCGATTGAAAAGGGACACTTTTGGAGGGCCCGGAGAGCAGCAGAGAGACTTAAAGCGGCGCTTGTTGCTTGCTGCAAGATCTGCAGCAGCAGGAGCAGCAGCAGCAGCAGCAGCAGCAGCAGCAAACTGAGTGAGGCGCAGCAGCAGCTGCTGCGGGAAAAACGGTGGCTGCCGTGGCTGCTCGACGGGCAGCAAGAGTCCCAGTCAGCGCTAGCAGCAGCAGCAGCAGCTGCTGCTGCTGCAGAAGCCGCAGCTGCAGAGGCCAGAGCAGCAGGCAGAGCACCGGAAGCAGCAGCAGCAGCAGCAGCAGCAGCAGCAGCAGCAGATGATAACTATAGTGCTTCCAGGCCTGAGGATGGAATTTTATTGGCCCCTGACTCTCCGTGGTATGAAGGCGAAGCAGCAGCAACAGCAGCAGAGACAGAAGCAGAAGAAGAATCACCAAAAGTTGCAGCAGCAGCAGCAGCAGCAGCAGCAGCAGCAGCAGCAGATGAGTCCTCCTTGCTGCTGCGGCCGTGCACTGACTTTGACATTGTGTCTCCTCTGAGCGACAGCAGCAGCACAACTTTGCTGCAGCCATGTTCTCCCCTCGCAGCAGCAGCAGCAGAGGAGGATGAGGAAGCAGCAGCAGCTGCTGCGGCTGCAGCAGCAGAAGAGGAAGCTGCAGCAGCAGCAGCAGAAGCAGCAGCAGTTGACAGCCTGCTGCAGTCCTACGCACACAAACCGCCGCTGCTGCAGTGGCTGCTGCACTACGGTGTCTCCTTTTTGTGGGCCTTTCAGCTTTGCTGCCTTGCTTTGCTGCAGGGGCCCCTAATGGGGGCCCCCGAAGCAGCAGCAGCAGCAGCAGCAGCAGCAGCAGCAGCAACTGTAACGGCAGCAGGAGGGACAAGGGCGGGGGAGCTTGCTTTCGTCAACAGCAGCAGCAGCAACAGCAGCAGCAGCAGCGGGACCTCAACAGCAGCAGCACAGCATCTGCTGCTGCTGCTGACAGAGCTGCTGCTGGGCATTTCTCTCTTGTGGGCCCTTCTCTCAGAAGCAACAGTCCTCAGTGGCAGCAAGCAGCAGCAGCAGCAGCAGCAGCAGCAGCAGCAGCAGCAGCAGCAAAAGAGGAGACGCAGAGGCATCTTCGTAGGGCTCTTGCTGCTGCTCTGCTTCTGCTGTGCTGCTGGTCTCTGTTGGGCCAACGCCGCAGCTGGAAGTATGGGCCCTGCAGCAGCAGCAGCAGAAGCAGCAGCAGCAGCAGAAGCAGCAGCAGCAGCAGCAGCAGCAACTAAGGAGCAGCAATTCCTTCCGTTCCACCCAAATGAGGCAGCAAACGACGCAGCCGTCCGCTTCTCAGTCACAAAAAATGAGCTGCACGAGCAGCAGCAGCAGCTGCAGCAGCGGCGACTGCAGCAGCAGCAGCAGCAGCAGCTGCCGCAGCAGCAGCAGATCGCAGCAGCAGCAGCAGCAAACAGTCATGGGGCAGGAACAAAGCAAAACAGGATATGGGTTCCCTTCAAGGCCGATGGACTTTCTCTTAATTCCGTAGCAAATGCGCAGCTAGGACATCGGCAGCAGCAGCAGCAGAAGCAGCAGCAGCAGCAGCAGCAGAAGCAGCAGCAGAAGCAGCAGCAGCAGCAGCAAGACCAGCAGCAGCTGCTGCTGCCGCTGCGTCTAGGCACACAGCAGGTGGGCCCCAGAGGCCCTTCCAAG